TTATTAAAGAAACAAATTAATTAGCTATCGTTACATGGACAGTACTTGATATTGTCTTTACCAAATAACCCAAAATAACCTTCTGTATGATAGAACCCATCACATAACTATGTATTCATTTTATAAGGGTTGTCTCAGTTCACTTACCTTCACAAGGTACACCAGATCACGATTAAATATAGTTACACTAAATAGAATGAGCAGCTGATAGCCTAATGTGCAGCTTTGCGCTAAAACAAACAATACATTATTTTAATTAGTTTGGTAGACTATGAGGTGTTTATAAGTTGCAGAAGGCCTTTATATGTTGTAAAATTATTCAAATGTATAGAAGTTTAAACGACAGTAATTACACATTAGTTTTCTGAATTTTGATTATATAGACCGTCAATAGTTGAAACCTGACGTCAAATTACTTTGAACCTTGCAATCGACAACATGGCTTAGATCTACCAATTCATCGTTATAAAGCAGCTCTAATGGTTATAGATAATGTATGCAATAACAAATTAAATTCGACCCTTTTGAAACTGCAAAAAGGCTTACGAAGGAGATATTTTAGATTTTCATAAATACAAGTAGTATTGGTATAGTATAGACTAAAGAACCTAGCAAATTTATTTGTTTGTTTTGGATATTAACCCAAAGCTACACAAGGGCTACCTGCGCTAATTCTGAACTGATAAGAGATTAATGTACTTGATTTAATGATGAATATTTTATTTTCTGTGTAAAAATAAATTCGATTCCTCAGCGGTAATTACGGGGAATAATTGAAATATTGACGATATTTCAGTTTATATTTTTGTGACTCTTCTCTTCTCTTGAAATACTAAAATCGAACAGTGGGAGTTTATCATACTATTGCAAGGAACTCTTGATTCTAAATTCGGAAACCGATTTTGAAGCAACTGGTCACAAACCATGGATCTTCAGATTCACAGTCTGGTACGCTTTCGACTTATCACATCTGGCCTTCTACCTACTAAAGTTGAATTATATTGTGCACATAAAATAATTCATTGAATTGACAATTATTAAGGTTATTTTGCTTTGTTTGCAATTGTTCTTATTACTGAAAGATTACGACAACTTTTAGCCCATTTCACATACTTTTATGAAAATTCAAATAATAATGTATTTACACAGCCACAACCTGTGTAAATAATTAGAACCGGCTTGGGGTATTCTGCCTCCCTAGGCATTAAGACAACATTTTAAACTACCGTCTCCGAGGAAAATCCAGCATCACTATCATAGATAAATGCACATATAACATCGAAAACATGTCGCAACTTCTCGTAAACTCTTCCTTTAGCAGCATTAGTGCAGTAAAGCCACAACAACGCATCGGCACTTAAAATTTATAAATGAAAATTAGGTTTTGAATAAGAGTTCTTTACTCTGATGGTGACGTCACACGTACAACACTATTTAGTAGGCCTATTTGTTTGTTTTGAATTTCGCGCAAAGCTCCTCAAGTGCTATCTGCTCTAGCCGTCCCTAATTTTCAAATGCTAGATTCGAGGGAAGGTAACAAGTCAACTCTTGGGCTTCAACAACGAATTATTCCTACTCTTCAATAACGAATAATGGGATTACCTTCAATTTATATCATCCCCACGAGTATGTTCAGTGATGGAATTCGAACTCGCGATCCACGGATTGCGAGTCGAGTGCCCTAACCACCAGGTTACTGTCTTGCTTCAAAATGTTTAGATTTAGAAGTGCTTGATTTCCCCATATTTTTAGGTTCGAGATGTTAAGTATTTCCCTAAGGTCTGGCGTGTTTGACTTTAGTAGAAGCTTGTTTTGTATTTAAGTTGATTATCTAACAATGTTTGCTTTAAATACTACAATAAAAGGCGTCAAATAATGTAAAGCATGCTGGAGATAGTAGATTTAGTTAAAAAATGTAAACTTTTTCATGATTTTGTTATATTTATAAGAGAACACTTACGAGTCCCAAGATTTAAAATAAAAACTAAATTTTTAATATAAAAACTGGATAAAATACAATTCATAATAGCTAATCGTATAAATTTATTACTTCGTGTTGTACAAACACTGTTCTATTCTATTTTTTTTTATTGTCGTTATTTATCATAAAAGCTGCCATACATATAATGTACAAGGCCGCCCCACAGAATAACTGACTTAACTAAATGATACATCTCCAAAAAATAAAATTATAAATCAAAACACCATGAAGCTTCTTCCCTCATGTTTCCCTATAGGTGACGCTGCAGTTAAAAATATGACTCACACCGTCAAATCGGTTGCATATTTACGCTCAATTTCAACAGCAGTGCCATTACTCTAAAATAGTTTTAAATATGCTTTTATATCCCTGGTGTCTTGAGCTATAATCCCCAATTTCATAGCAATTCGTCAGGCTGTCGTAAGGTGCCATTTTTTATTTGACTCTCAAATTACCGATTTTTATATTATTCAATTCCGGTGGGATCCACGTTTTGTGCATGATATTGTGCCATTTTACATTTCACCTGCTAAAATGGTGTGGAGAAATGACCAAAAAAATTGTGCGAAATCACTCATTTTCTTTATAAATACACAGGGGATTACTGTAATAATTAATTATGTTAATTTCAATATCGATGGTCTTTTGTGTACTCTTTTTTTTTTTTGCGTAAAATTAATATTAGAGGCACTTTAATCCACAAAGTCATGGATCCACAAGCAATTTGGTGCATAATTTTTTTTAATCTGTTGGATATAGATCCTGTCAGCAATTCTAGAATTAATGAACTACAAATAACGTAATTATTTCTGTTATGGCAAGATGGAATGATTAGTACATTAAAAAAATGTTCATGTATAGTCCCAATTATTCATGACAAGGGCGCTTTTATCGTTTCAAGGTCGCCCGCCTACAGACTTCTCATCTCGGTGGAGTAGAGTAGGTCAATATTCACATAAACCCAAGTTTGTTTGAACGTTCGGGAAGGTAGACTTCACGTATGTACATTTTCAGCAGTTAAATTGTCTGAACAAACACTAACGTATACATGAAAATCATGGAGAAAAAAAAAGTTTACAATGCAGTATTGCATTCAGAATTATCTGAAATGTTTTTCTCTTTGATCTTAACAACACTATACTAATACACACAAACTTTTTACACACTCACACAATATATGTTTTAGTATACTGATGTCATGATTGAAGGGGGAAAAGGACTAGCGCCATCATAAGTCTGGTTATGTATAATTATTCCACAATTTTGTTACCTTCAACCATTTTAACATGATACTTCAAACAACACTGTAGCACAACCTTAGTATCTATACAACACATCTTGAAAGTTAGACAAGTAATTTTCGTAATACTCGTAAGGTAAAACAGCTAGTGTTAGTGGAAAGTTATAGAAACACCACTTCTGTAACTCTTATGATACGTTTGTTTTACTTACTTGGGGGGGGGGGGGGCAGTGCATTAGTTTGCGTAAAAATATTATAAATTGCACATCTTAGTGCACACAGTCGGTTTAAGATCACAAGGTTAACAGAAACTTTCTTAATATGTTATGTACACAATAACTATTTTAGAAATGCAAACAAACAAAGCAGATGATTTCCAATGACAATTATCTGACACCTGAAAAGAAAAAAACAGAGAAGATTTTGATTTCTTGACTTTCACCAAGATCTCTTAAGTATTGATACTGATGCCCAAATTACAATCTACATAGGTTTGTTTTCATTTTGTACAAAGCTATCTACACTAGTCGTCCTTAATTTTGAAATGATAGGCTACAGAGAATCCCGCTAAACAAAATCACTCACCACCAACTCTTGGGCTACTCTTTACCAACGAATAGTGGGAGTGAATATCCCATTATAAGGCCCCATTGCTGAAAGGGTGAGAATGTAAAGAGATGGGTTTGGAGATACTAGGCCCTTACTACCTAAGTGAGAGTACAGGTGTACTTATTATCGACAATTAGATGATTAAATTCGATGACGAGGAACCCACTTTGAGACTAATAATGGCTGGAGACGGCTTGAGTGGGTAATGAAGAAAAACTTTAATATAACAGGAAATGTACAACGTTTCGACAAGGTTTTGTCATCATCAGGTACTTTATTACAAGTTAAGTTGTCATTATTGAAATTATATTCACTGCTGAATTTCTTTACAAGACAGAATTATATAGATAGATAGATATGGGGTTGGGTAGAAGTTACTACACAGTTGGTACTTGATCTGGGTGATTAATGGAACTTACCAATTGATTAACCATCAAACTCATTAATCAATTACACTCAACAAATCTATTGTTCACACATGAGAGTTGGAATAAGTGAAAATAGTAGCAATCAGAAACACTAATTATAATTAGTTGACCATTTTCGTGAGGCATCCCACTAATCAATTAAACTGAACAACCTTGAATTAATCGAAAATAACATTGATAAATAATAATAGCAATACTTCAATTACTTGGATAATTGGAATAATTAAAAACAGTAATTTTGATAAGTTTGTTATTTTCTCAACAGTAATAGATTTAATTGTAATTTTGATTAATCGATTATTTCATAAGACATCAATTGATGTAATGGATGCTCATTATATTGATATATTGCCCATCTCTAGTTTCATACTAAAGAAAATATTATGAAACTAATTTAATTATTGTTTGTTTCAGTAATAGCTAGAAAGTAAACTGTTCTAAACAAAACAACTGCATAGTCGCTTTTGTGAAATCCTTTATATATATATATAAAGAGAAAGAATAATGTATAATGCTGAGATTATATTCATTGTTGAATTTCTTTACAAAACAGATTTAAAAATACGTGTTGTATATATTTTAGATGTAACTTAGGTATACTGCAGATAACTTCCAAAGAATCTTTAAATTTAGTCAGAACAAAGTACATAAAACATATTTAAAAGTATCTGTCGGTGTGATTTGAATAATGTATTATATTTATTTTATCATTAAAATATATAAAAGTTTGGTAAAAAGAAAGAGAAAGGATTTGAGTTTTCTCCTATACACACACACACACTTACATACATACAGATATATAGAGAAATAACAGGTAGACAAAACAACAAAATTTGATTTCCAAATAGAGCTTAGTCAGTAGTGGATTTTGATGATTGATTAGTCTTCAGACTCAATAATTATTATATTCAACTAATCCATCATTATTCTTACACGACATTAATCTCTTTAATCCTAATTTTGATCAATCAGTTATTTTAAGTGACACTTATCGACGTAATCGATGCTCGTAAGTAATCACTTAATTGAGTTCATTGCCTGCTCTACTTCCGTATATGAAAATATAATCGAACAGATAGTTCAATCTTTGGTTAGAGAGATTATTTTTTTGTTAAGTCTCATAAGTAAAAGAGCATTTTAATAACCTTTTGATGTAATCAGTTTCATAGGCTAAATTCTACACAGCAACATATATCTTTATTTTCTAAAAAAATATAAATAATAAAGAAACCTATTGTCTAATTTTGAGGCTTTAGAGTAGTTATTACGACGTGGTTCCATCAAAAAGTAATGAAAATGTACTTCAGAAATATACATATATAATCTGTCAAATCAAAGACTTGTTTTGCTGTTTTTTTGTATACATATATATTAAGCAGGTCTCCACAAACCCGGTCACCAGGTTGCCATGGCAACTAAAAATTTCATCATGGCACCTAGCATTTTCTCCCATTGTATTTGTGTGTAGGGATGTGCTAAATAGAACTTGAATGTAGAACAGTTCTGGACTCTTGGAAGTCTGGAACTATTTTTACATTCTTTGAGTCCCAAATCAAACTTTGTTTCTAGGATTTTAATGCGGATTCAGCACTTCTTCATGTTTTTTCAAGAAGGAAGCACTGTAGTTGCACAACACATTACTAATTTTGCACCATTTTATTTTTCTTCTTTCTCTCAATTCAACCAATCAGTGTGCGTGTTTACACTCAGAGGGGTCCAAAGGCAGTTAGTTTAGGCAATACTATCAAGTGGTTATCATGTGATCATTAGTACGCATTCATTGCCGTGAAAGTAAATAAATATAGCCCCATTTCCTGGTAGAAACAGTAACAAAGTTAGGCACACCAAAAGGCCTTTGCTTATCATTGTACAGTGTTGTAGTGATGAGTAGATTAGACCTATTCTGAAACAACCAGCTTGGCCTATCAATAATGCAGTGATTATTTTTATTTTACTTTCATTTGTTGCAAGAATCCACCTAAGTTATAGTTATTCAGTCTACTATTTTAATAATTGCACATATTGAAGTTTAATATTAATATGTGTCATATAATAAAGTTTAATAATGAACCCTTTGATTTTTATTGTAAAACTGTATGTCTCGTACCATAACCTCACAACCGGCTCAAAATATATTCCATAACCTTTCTCTATCGGACATGGTTCCTATGTTTTTGGGCTGGCTCGTAGATGTGAAAATATTTGTCGAGGCCTGATATACAGTTAGACCCAATTAAAATACATAAATTAAAAAAAAACATTAAACCATTTTATCTAGAAATTCAGATTCTGTAAGTTATAAAGCCTGGAAGTCTGATGATTGATTTAGTAATTCATAAAAAAAATAAAAAATTATATAGCTGAACAGATTGAAACCATGAATAAAAAAAAATAGAATTCCTCAAACCTGATCTGTTGGATAACAAAAATCTACAAAATTGAACAAGATACGAGTTAAATAATAAAGTTCCAAGATATTCAAAGAATGAAAGTATTTTTCAGGATTATTGAAGTCCCATTGATGATGGAAGAAACAGTCCATGTCCGAAGTGTCTTGGTAATTAGTGGTAGAGTTGCAGGTCAAAACATTCATCTTCATTATACAAAGTATTGACACACAGGTCCATGTCTTTTAATATCCTACATAACACTGATTCCTCCCATGATGTTTACTGGACGATTTTTGTACTGTTTAGATATAGTATCTTCAATCTGGGTAAGAAAAATCAAAGACTGAATAAAACAGTGACTTGGAAACATTAAACAAGTCAGTATTCAAGTTTTCAGTTTGACTTTAACCTTACTAATTCAAAGCACTGTGCTTAATATTGTTAACTTTAACACTTGGAATATAAAATAGACTTCAATTCATTTCAGATAATTTAACAACTGATTAAAAAGTTTTCAAGAAGATTATTAATCAGCACTTTGACCTTTGTAGAAAATCACCAGCAGTTCATTGTTTTTATACCTTATTTTTTTTTTTTTGGTTATTTGGCTTTCCAATACTTGGGCAGCTTTTGGCATTTAAACTATAACTTCTTAAGTTTTACGTTGCATGTATACATAGACAGCATTTCATAGAATCTTTTTTCACTCATCATCCATTCCAACTGACAAGTTCTCATATTGAATGAAAAGCTTATTGGGCAGCAATTTATGGAAGACAAAAGATAGATCTGAAATGTTATTTTTTTTACACACACACTTATGATTTCAAGCCATAATGGACAAATTAATAGGAATGTGGAAAAAAAAACGTTTTTATAACAATTTTTAAGCCTACTTATTTTCCAATACTTTGCCATCTAAACAATAACCTGACCTTGATAACATTTAAGTTTTAATTTTTGTGTAATTCAAATTATGTTGTTATGATTCAGTGACTTAAAGCCTACAGGTGTTAAGTCTGACCTTGATAACAAAACTCCAAACACTTATTAAATTAGCTCCTAACCACAGTGAGTAACTTTGCTGTTCAGGTCTACAGAATTAACTAACAGCAAAAAAACATAATAATTATAAGACAATTATCTGTAAAACCATTAAAAATTGAATAAAATATAATTCATAAAATGAAATAAAATAATATCAGACTAACTTTCTCATTCCACAAAACAAATGATATTAGTCAAAATTATAAGATGAAAGGAGATTGGCAACATTGCAGAAAATTTGGTAAACATCTGAACCATTTGTTGTTTCTTGGCCAATCAATCTTTGGCAGGGTGTCCATAAAACCTTTATTTTGGCCAATCAATCTTTGGCAGGGTGTCCATAGAACCTTTATCTTGGCCAATCAAAAGATAAAGGTTTTAATGGACACCCTGCCAAAGAAGGCCAATCAATCTTTGGCAGGGTGTCCATTAAACCTTTATGCACTATGAAAGCAAAATCCCTTTTGATCCAATTTTCTCTGAATACATGAGTTTTCACACTGTACATAGATTACTGACTCACAATTTGCATATTACAATCCAACTTGTGCATTCCTGTTTACAGCACTGGCCAATTTTAAACAAAATACAATACAAAAGCCACCAGCCTTGTGTGAAAATAATTCTAGGTCATAAGAATTAAAAGGTATACATATCATCATGTGCTTTATGGCATAGCATTTATATAGTTCATTAAGAAGTTACAAAAACAATGCTAGATGTTACAAAGGTTTTAAGAACACTCATTTTTAGACTTAGGCTATGTCTGTTAAAGACAAAAGTAATTAAAACACAATGATATGTAAATGAAAGAGTTCAGTTGAAAAACATTATACAAAGAAGTACCTACTATTTATAACTTAGGGCAATGACAAACTATATATTAAAAACTATCCGCTGAAAACTACAGTGCCCGATAAAATAAGGTAAAAATATGATTTACTTATAGACTACTGTTTTACCATTTCCATGTTTACAGATTACATTAAATATCACACCCTACAAATGTGCATAGAAAACATCCACATAGTGGAAAGTCAACTCAAATGCCTGAGAAACTTTTCCTTAACAGACAAAACAATACAAAACTATAATTTTGGATAGATTCATTCATTTATTAAAAAACAGACAGATAGATAATTTTTCAATAAAAGGTTATAATCAATTCTAAAGTTGAAATTTGCAACATTTCAATTAGGACAAAGTTTTTTTCTACACAAACTGTATACTGTAACAGAACTTGGGGTTACATTCAAAAGCTCAAACTCTGAACATTCAGAATCCTGCTGATGATAAGGTAACATAAATTTACCCGTGACTTGAAGCTATCTTGCAGAATATTTAAAGAATAAAATAATGGGGATTAATAGCTTTAATCAAACATTTTGTGAAACAAGCATCACTTTACTACCATTCAGCACGTGAACTATAAAAGATTTTACGAGAACAAAATAGAAAACAATGACCTGTTTTTGAAGAATTTTTGTCTTCTTGATGATAAGATCAAGTTTTGGCTCTAACTGTCTCTGGTCTTCTAGTATTGTTTTCCTCCTTTCCATTACTGCCTGCTTTGACAACTCCATCTTCTCAGACTGCTCCAGCTTCTGTCTAAGGGATTCTGTTAAGCGGTCAACATACCTAGAAGTTCAGAAGAGAAAATGGGTATAATACTGTTTCATTTCTTTTACTTCCATTTCAGAAGCTTTAACATGTTAAACAACTATGCAACGATAAAGTACTATCTGAAGATTACTGAGTTGTTGATCAAATACAATAAATGAAATAAACTTATTGAAACTGGGATAAAAAATAGATGTAAACACAGGGATGTTACTGGGTGAAAAGAAAAGTTAATTCTATGCCAAGACATACTTAGGGGAGTCGCTGATAAGACACAGATGTTTCATTCTCACGTTAGTCATTTGGGTCAGAATATCTGTGACCATGTCTAACATTTTCTGGACTTCATCAGCTGTTTGCAGCTGAACAGTAGCAGGTGCCTCTTGAAATTGACTGGACAATAATACATCTCCTTCCGTCTTCATCTCTACAATTCTTTGCGACAGAAATCCTTTGAGCTTCAACAAAGAATATTAAATGTAATATTTAAAAAAATCTTGATTTTCAATATTTTTAAAGAATCAGTAAACACAACTTAAGTAAAAAAAATAAAAATATCTGACTGTTCAGTTTGCAATTAAACAAGTTTGTAATAATAAAAGTTTCAAATATTAATTGATAACTGGTAAAACTTAGTATGTATTTCTCCACTATTAGTATAAACAAAAACTCTTTACAACTTATTGTAAATATTCTTATATAGGATCAATGTACTGTACTGTTGTGATCCAAAGCTAACTGTAAGACAGATTTGTAATAGTGTCTAAAGACATAAGCTGTGCATTAACTGGGATAACATGGATTTTAATGACAGGAGATGAAACCATATAAATGTTCATTTAAACCTCAAGGGAAATGCTGCAAATATGGGAGTGATAACGGAATTCTGATGGAGCTTCAGGTTTCAGCATCAACCACTTTCCATTAAACTAGTTATACTTCTTATCACAGGAGGGATACAACAACTTTATGGAGAGATGACATATTCTATATTTTAAAAACTACGTTTTGCTGTCAAGACCACACTTCTTTACACGGGTATTTGAATAACTCCTTTATCTTTTAAATTTTGCTGTACACACTCCAGCACACTTGTTAGGATTTTATTGCTCTAGTTTATAAGTGCTCTAAAATTCCATTCAGTGTTTCTCTTGGAAAATATGGTTGAAGATACTACGTCACACTGATGTAATGAAACATGAAAAAATAGCCAATTTACATTACAATAAACTTAAATTCTTAATACTAAATTTTATATATATATATTCATAAAACTACTCTTCAGAAAATATAACTAGAATGAGCTTTCCTACTGCAATTTAAACTAGTTTTGAGATTTCAGAATTATATATTTATGGAAAATATAATGAGTATATATAAATTTTCCTGTTACAACAGCCAACTTTTATAAACACTTTTAGATCTAATAGATGTCTATGCTAAATCACTTTAATTTAGAAATTTACTCATTGTACATAAAATAAATGTTCGTATCAGGCTTGTTTCTATTTGCTACTTATAAATAAGATAATTAAGCATTAAGTGATTCCTTCATCAAAACAGTGTAATCAAGACTGAAAATTAACCTGCAACAATAACAGTGTAATCAAGACTGAAAATTAACCTGCAACAATAACAGTGTAATCAAGACTGAAAATTAACCTGCAACAATAACAGTGTAATCAAGACTGAAATTTAACCTGCAACAATAACAGTGTAATCAAGACTAAAAATAACCTGCAACAATAACAGTGTAATCAAGACTAGAAAATTAACCTCAACAATAACAGTGTAATCAAGACTGAAATTTAACCTGCAACAATAACAGTGTAATCAAGACTGAAATTTAACCTGCAACCATTTTTACATTTGAAATTTGTTATACTTTGATATGGATCTAAGTATGATGTTGTGAGTTATCTTTTACTCACAGTGAAGCTATATTTATACATTTCTGATTTACCCTTATCCAGGGTTATTTTACTGATGAGGAGCGGAATTCCTCCAAAACTTATAACTCAGTGGCGAGTAGTAAAGTGTATGATAGACCGAGTTTCATGTTTATTTTTAGTGGTATAATATAGTCATAGACACTTTCTACACATCACATTGCTTTCTTTGTTAATATAAAACATAACTAACTGTAAAAACTGAATCATCAGTAAGAGTGTCTTCACTTTATACATCAGACAAAGGGTAGGATTTTGATTTATAGCAAAGCCATTAAGACTATCTGCCACAGTCCCTAATTCTGAACAACTGACTATAGGGAAAGCAACCAGTCAGCAGCATCCTACTACCCACTATCCATGCAAAGGGATTGTCTATTACTCTTATGATACACCCACAGCTTAAAGTGAGGGGAATATTTTGTGGTATCGCACAGACTTGAACCTGGCTCATCAGTTCCAAAATCTAAATTTTACCACATTCCCTTTAAATAAAGAAACACAATGTTTATTATAAAACGTTAAAGATTTGCATTTTGGGAAAAATTTAACTAATGAAAAGGGTTGAAACACAGGAGAAAATAGGGTTAAACTGAACTGAGATTTCCTCTTAGGACAAATGTTACATATATTAATCAGGACAAATGTTTCATATATTAATTGGGTCAAATGTTACATATATTAAGATCAAAGTTAAATGACTGAAGTAAAACAGTGATGAGATCCACCCTCATCAAAAGTGTCAGAAAACAATGGCAATTAGTTTATTTAAATTATATTTTAAGGGGATTAACAATAGATTGTTAAAAATGAATTTTTTTTTTGGCTTACACCTCACTATTTCCATTGTATTTCTAAAAAAAAAAAGAAAAAGTCCATTACTTTCTCAACCAAGTTAAAGTAATATTTAGATATGATTTGTTTTAATTTAAGGAAAACCAACACCCAAAAACATGGTTTTTAATTAATGTTGTCTCTCTTAGAGCATTAAGCATTTTCAAAACACTTTCCAAAACATAACTGTTATTTTCATATCTTAGTAGGAAGTGATCTTAAGTGTCTAAATGTTTCGTTATATGATCATTAATTTAATTATTCTGTATTTTTGTTAAACAATTTAATATGAAACAATAAAAACTTATATGGTTTCTTCAAGTACTCTGTCTCTAACATTATATTCATCTTAACTAAAAGTCTAACCACTTCAAGATGACATTTTTCCAAAAATTTATGCTAATGTATTAAAATATATTTCGAATTATTTATGGTCAGGTTCCTAGAAAAAGTGTCAAGAAAGACTCATTTCCAAGAAGAAAAACTAACATCATCTGCTGAAGTTGATTTCATGTTGTTGTTGTTTTTTGTAGGGTACAGTAACACAGTTTTGTATCACTAAATAAATTCAATTAAATCAGAGTTAGAAGATTGAAATTTGATTTCAAGCAGTACATCAATTAATATGAAAACTTAACAAAACTGAATTCTCAGAGCAGCTATTTATTATAAAATTTTTATCATTGAAAAACTATGTATGTGTAATGAAAGTGCATAAAATAATGAAACACAATGAAAAAATTAAACAATTCTTTTGAATATTTAAAAATATAAACTATACCTCCATCAGTTCATTGAGAAAAAGACTTCGAGTTTCAGGATTATCTAACAAAGTGAGAGCATCACTGCCACGAGCAACTCGCACACTATCTGGAAAGTTAAGATGTATATATTAAACAAACATATGAAAAAGTAAAGATCATTTTAGGCCTCACAGTAAATCAAATGCACGGTACAACATCAGGTAAATGACATCAAAGCTTTAATGAAGTATTACATCTTACAACATTATGACTTAATCCCAAAGATCTGTGTTATTAAAGCACGGTACAACATCTGTGGGATAAAAGACGAAATAATGACAAGGTTCACATTCAGATTTAGCAATTAAAGTTAAATTTTAGTGACTTTACCAGCCACATAGGGCACAACAGGAGGGGAGGGGGGCATGGCCACTCCAAAACTCTTGGTTACCCTCCAAAGGTGCCAAACTGAATACAGAAGAAGAGTTACAGTTAAGTTGACTTATATCATGATAATCTTTAAAAGTATCAGGGAGTCTTGGCAATAAAAAAATGGTGACTGACTTTATCATTATTTTTTTAAAAAAGTATAATATATTTGTAGCATCTGAAATATAACATTCACAGAGTGGCAAACATATCATTCTGGTATATATAGACACACACTATGAGAAGCCTAACTGCTATATTTGGTAACGTGAATTAAGAAAATATCTCATCATCATTTAACTTTAAGATTATAACAAGCAGAAACCTGGTGTCCAGATCACATAAAACATTTAGATCATTGCTTTGACAGAATAATGTTATCACTTGATAAGAATGTGAACTTTATAGTGTGTAGTTCATTAACCCATTAACTGCTGCGGGAGCAGCTCAGTTGCCATTTTCTGACTCACAGATAAAACTGAATTGCCATCAATCACAATAAAATGGTAATTTTCGTCATTCACATAAAGTTATAGTTATATATGTGTGAATGATGGAAATATTTGTCATTTGCAGCTGAGCCATAGAACTTCAATGACAGAAATATCCGTCATCCGCAGTTAATGGGTTAATATTATAATCTACAAAATACACTCAAGAAAATTAAAATTGTATAGGAGGAAATTTTAATAGGTTTCAATCTTACTTTAGAGATCTCTTTTTAACATGAGGAATTCTTTTTAAAATAGAATTAAAACTATTGTTATACAAGTCAGAAAATATTTATCATTTACAAATCTTTTAAATTAGATTTAGTAGCTGATATATATAGCAACAACCACTGTGTGATGTTGAGGATTATTTAACTGCAATGAAAACAGATAGGGTTAATGACTTTGAAAGACAGAAATATCACTGTAAGACAAATCTGACTAACAATACTTGCATAATTTTTGTTTCTGGTTTAATTTTAAAACCTGAAGCCACTGAATTTAAGTAAAACAATGTACCACATTTTAAAAATGATGTTTGACAAAATCATTAAAAACATTCCATATTTATACTGAGTGACTTTCACATTTTTTGAAAAAGTTGTACCTCCACCTCCTTTATCTGTGACACTTTCCGAGACTTCTGCTAAATCTGAAATCCCAGAGGTCTCCACACTGATATCCCAATTGATTTCTCCTCCATCATCTAGAGAAATGGCTTGCTCTCCATCGTCAAAATCAATCTGTAGTGTATTTCATAAAATTTCAGAAAAATAATCGTTCAGTAAAAAAACAACAGCAATAAATCATCTGATGTTAATATATTGATTTTTAGATAATGATATAACTTGATAAAAAAAGTTTAAAAAAAGCAAAATAGCGTAAAATTGCTTTTTTTCAAAACTTTAAAAAAAGAACATTTACAATATCAAGCACGTTTCTCTTCATCATCTACACATACTAAGTTGTGGGAATCATTTATATGTATAAACTGCATTTACATTTGCAAATAAGTTGAGTATCTAGAGTTTGGTTCACAACTCTTAAAGATAATAATAAAAAAAAGAGCAGTTTTTTTTACTTTTGCCACCTAAGTTTTCACCACATTAATAACTTAGAATTTTGGGTTTATTAACCCTTTAGTGAACCAGAGGTGTGTGTCTGATATCCTCTGATTTATTTATTACTTCTCTTTGTGGAAATACTTAGCCAAAATATATGAAACTTAGAACAAATTAACTAAATAGTATCTAATTTGAGCTTTAAAAATTAATACAATTTGATTTAGTTTTTAAATTATTTTATGGTGTAAAGCTTCAAAAAGTTTGTTTAGACATTTTTTTGTTTCAATCTTTTAAAATTTCGATTATAAATTCCCATTTTCACATCAAATCAAATTTAACTTGATTGATATTTACTAACATATATATAATTTGATACTTTAAGTTTTTTCAATTGCGTAGTCACTATTATCAATTGTAAAAAACTGCAGAAACTTACAAAGATTTGAGTGATCTATGACTTGACCTTTCAAAAGAGTGTCAGATCAGACTAGGCAACAATATTTTTGTTAACAATATTCTTGGTTGAGATCACTGTATATCTAAAAATATAACTTCTTTTCAATAAAATATATGCTATTTTATTTACATGTGTTATTTGGATATGACAAACTTAATATTTTATTTGAGATTATTCAAAATTTTGCCAACATGTACTGTAATAGCTAAACCTAATTAAGCTTACTGTGATGTCCTACCATAGAAGAAAAATCCCATAATGTTCAAACAAGTATAATTTAACACAAGAACATTTTCAAGAAGAAAAATAACATCTAAAAATACTAGAATGAAAGTCCAAGTTCTGTGGTTGTTCATCAGTCTTCTAAACTTTCCATTATATTATGTTGTTATTTTCTGTGGAAGTCACGTCAAATCACTTTCCCACAAAACTATAGGTTACTTCTCACTCCACTTCATTCATTATACTTTCACATAAATGGTTTATAATTTGCTCTACTGAATGGTACTTAGAATTTGTTGTTTTCACATTTGAGCTTCATTAGTAGTTGTTCAGACTACACACTGTAACAATATAAAATGATAGAAGCGTAGACCTTTAATAATAAAACCTTAAACAAAGAAGGAAAATCATGAGAAAAACAAAAGCTCGGCTGACCATATTCTCAATTGGTGAAAGTTTCTTGGCAAACAAAAAGCCCTGCTTTGGAAAGGGCAGAAAATTTCTCAAAACTCAGTAAAAACATTGTTTACAGGTGAAACTCAGAGTTGTGAAATCAGTAAGAACAATGTTTACAGGCGAAACTCATCAGAATTGTGAAATCAATAAGAACATTGTTTAGAGGTGAGACTCATCACAACTGTGAAATCAGTAAGAATATTGTTTACAGGCAAGACTCATCACAACTGTGAAATC